TGCTAAAGTCCTTAAATGGACCACAATAATAAAAGATTAGTTGTCAAAATGAAGATCTATCTTATTATTAATTCCAAATAATGATATTTCCAACTAGTTTTTTCCTTGAAATTGTACTAGTAATACTTAGCCAACTTGTTATGAAGCCCTAGACATCTCCCACAAGTGCCTTTAAGATCAAAATTCTAAGTTGGTAACAATGGTTGCTTTCATAAAATCTCATCTTCTTAGCAAATCAAAATCTATAAGAGGTACAACAATATTATGCTTGTGTCTTTTGTAAGTCCATACATCATTAATCTTACTAATGTCCAATGTGACAAGATCAAATTTTTAATATTATACTATAGATAACACATTAATTTAATAATATCCAACCTCCATTTATTAATACAATTGGCTTTTTCTATGTCAATTCAATAATTCAAAGTTAAAATGATCTTCCATCAACAATAATTTATCAACCAAATAATATTGTTAATTAGGTGTTTGAAGAGAATATTTGAACTCTCTTATAGACACCATCATAAAATTCTAACAATAATCTAAGAAAACATGAATACTTATATCTTGTGAGTCTATTTTTTTTTTTATTGTTTACTTTAAAATGTTAGCAATTAAAATTAATTATTTGTCTCTTTATTCAATATAACATCCATAGTAATATGCAAACTTTTGGAACTCTATTTATTTATTTATTTTTTTTTTTTTGAAGAATCAATTACTAACCTCTTTATTTAATACAACATCAATCTTTAATAAAGAAAATTATAATAATTGATCATCACTTCTTTCTTATTATAATTTATGTAAAAAATAAAAAAAATTCATGATATCTCCTTAGATGGGAGATTAAATGTTATAACTAAATAAATCCTTCAATAATTAAAGCTTTTAAAACCTCTATTACTTTTTTTTAATATTAGGATAGTAAATAGATGTATAATCCATCTCTTTGAGCTAATTTAAGACCTAATTTCATATATGACATTTCTTACTTCATCACTTTAGTGTTGTAAAAAAAACACATATATGGTAATGGATTACCAAGTCTTTTTTTGCAATCTATTGTTAAAGAATGCCAAAGTGATTCATAATTGAACAAATGATTAAGTCTAAAAAATGGAAGATTTTATAATGAACATTGTTTTATCAAGCAAGAATTAAGCTTTAATATCTCAAAAATCCTCTATGCTCCTATACTAGAATATGATTGATGGCTTGACGAATGACAAAGAAAATATTCTTTACATGTTGACTACTTATAATCTATATCTACTATAGACATACCATCTTTTGACACCATGTATTATAATCTATATCAACTTAAAAAAATTGAAGTTAATAAGACATTTATTTGATAACAATTAGACACCATTAATGTGATTGAATGGAAAAAAAAGACAAAATTACTTATTACCTTCACTTAGGAAAAAAAACCAAATCTAAGGAAATTTAATTAAAAAACGAATTTAATAGAGAATTTATAGATACTAATAAAAATAAAATTAATTAAAGTAATCTAAAATAACTACTAAGACCAATGGTTACAAAAGAGAGAGATATAGTGCTTATATTGGACTTTTATACTACTTAATTAAACAAAAAAAAATAGAAATAGGTAGAAACATGTTATATTTATTAAGTAGCTTTAAAAAAGTTTAAATGCACATTAGATCTTTAGATTTTTATAAACATGTTATATGACAATTAAAACTTATCTCATAAGTTTTTTTACTTTTAAAAAGTTATATTAGAGGCAATCTACAACTTGATGTTTGAACTACAAGTTTCATAATCCTTACAAAGTTTTTACAAGGTCTTCTTAATAATAGGATAAGAACTCAAAGAAGATACATAAAGAAGTGAAAAATGATTCAAAGAAAGATGAAAAAATAGAAATAATAAAATAAATATACTTAATAATAAATTGGACTGAATATTTTCAATGACTAGGAAGCTAAAGATTCTTGAAACTGAATTGAAAGCAAGAGAGGAGTTGACAAGAGTGAAGAAGACTTCATTCTTGCCTCTATATATACTATCTATCTAAGAGCTATGTGGCAATGTTCTATAGGACCTCCAACATGTGTCCAATTTGTAAGACATGTATCTAACTTATAAGACAAGTTTCTTATATGTGTACCACGTAATTAGCTTGTTTTTCAAGCTACTAACATGTGCAACACATGGCTAATTTGCTGGCCAAGTTTCTAACCTATCAATTACCTATAGACATATATAAAGATGAAAATATGTCTATGAAGCTTCTAAGAAGCTTTTCTATAATATATTATTAAATTAATCTATTTTTATCTACTTCTACTTATTAATATTACCTAAATAAGTATTAAAATAAATATATCCATGACAGTGTATTGTTTTCTTTATTTTTTCCTAAATTCATATTCTTGATAGTTAATATTATATTCTTATTAATATAATTATTTTTATAAATTATAAATAATAATATAAGAAAATTATTTTTAGATTAATATTTATAATTTAATATTCAATAAGAAAAACCAACATCTAATAATGATTTAAAGTCATCAATGGATTTTCTACAAAACAAAATTGAGTTTGGAAAGAACTCACCAAATTTTATACTTACCATATAATTTTGTGGTAAACTAGTCATATAACTTCTTTTGGCCTAGAATATATTGGCTCTAAATCAATATAGTCTTAAAGTCTATTTTAAATTAAGTAAGATTAGATTATTTTTATTTAGATTTTAAGAGGTGTAAAAAAAGATATTTTGTATTAATGATTGAAATGACTAAACAGATGAAATTATTTGGATAGTACATGACAAATTAAGTAGATAAAATGGATGGGCTAATAAATGAATTATAAACTTTAAGTTTTGGTTTAATTTTGCCATTATATTTTATATATTTAAAAACATAAATATAGATATAGAAGTTAAAAACTAGTTCAACTCCTATGACTCTTTAAACTTCTATGGCTCTATAGGCAAAGAAAAATAATTTTTTTGACCTAATTCTCTTAATTACCTATCCAGATGTTATTTCTATCCCATCTTTTTTAGCTATAAGATTATCACAATTTCTCTTCTATGGCTTCTAAGCATTAATGATGTTAAAAGACTTTGAAATTGGTAATTTTGTGATATTTTAAAATAATATTAAATAAAAGACTAATTTATTTATTTATTTATTTTATGTTTGAACATGCATAAATTAAGATTTTTTTATTATATGTAGGCCAATTTCTTTTTTAGAATATAAAAGAGATTGTCTTGGTATTTTTAATAGTTAGATTTACACAAGTTTTATTTTATATTAAATCATTATCATGTTGTAAATACTTAAGCCTATTATAAAGGCTTAAACTATTTGTAATCTTTGTTGTTGCAAGCAATTTAGATAAAACCATAGCTTAGTCTTATTATGTATTTGTGGTAATAAAGTAGAAGTAATAACCGACATGGTTGTAACTTGTTTTGAAAATAAAATTAGACTAATGTCCAATTAATTGTACATTTGAAAGTTTAAAGAACCATCTATATTAAAGTCATCATATAAATTTTGATTTCTAATCTCTACCTAGACGCTTGAACTATTCTAGAGTTCATATTGAATTTGTTTTTTTAACCAAATTAATTAAATTAATTATTTGCAAGGTCCAAATACTATGAGGCATACTACCAATTACAAAATTATGAATAAGAATATCTTAAAATATTATTTCTAAGTTGGTAATTTGTGTTTTTAGTTCAAAACCTATTACACATATCAATTGGTATTCACTAATGCTTAAGTGTTTTGTCTTTTGGCAATAAATATCTTTTTTTAATAGTTAGTCTATGCCAAATTCTAACCAAATTGTACTACAAATTGGTAGCAAATTCTATTTATATAAGCAATATGATTAATTCCAATATCATCCTTTAAAGTCCTTGTAGTCTTTCTTAATATTTATTAGATCCAATTAGAATAATATTAACAATTGTCTCTAAGATGGAATTGTTTCTATTCTAGAAATATTGTCTTTCAATTGTCACCAAAATACGACTTAATTTACACCAAGTAGGAATGTAAATCATTCAATAAACACTTCTACCTCAATTATACATACTAAACTTTCTTGCATGCAATAAATTTAAGTTATAATAAATATGCCAATTGCATCCATCTTAATTGTCATTCTAAAATAGAATAGGTTCACTCTTTGACAAACATGACAATGTATATTAACTCCAATTGGTAACTTAACATCAATTCAATGTCAATAGAATGACCTCTTGCTCTCCTCTTGGCAATTTTGTTTTTTGCAATTGTTATCTACTTTAAAGACATAAAACTATTGTTCACAAACTACCTTCTTACATAATAACATGAACTTAAGTAAATACAAAGACTTGTTTAAAAATAAGATATGATTTATTCAACAATTTTTCAACCCTTCTTGGTTGGCAACAACTTCTCAACTAGAATGTATTCATTATAGAAATTCTTCCTTATTATATAGGATGTTGAGTTGTAACACCTAACTATTCTTTAACAACCTATTTGGTAAAAACCTATTTAATAAGAACCAATTGCCTAACAAACTATTGGTAAGATGATGAGTTATAAAGATTAATTTATGGATACATGGATGTTTGGATGGATAATTACAAACATAGACTCCCATTCAATTGTGCACTTAATAATTAGATATAGATGTGTATCATAGTCTTAATTTGGAAATAAGTGATTACAGTACAATTTGTTATTGAATTGTCACTGCATTTTTTGCTGAGGCTGCAATTGAAAATTGCTACTGTATATGCTATATTCCTAATACGTAGGACCACTCAAACAGCTTAAAATTAAACTGTCATACAATTGCATTTACTTTGTTCATCTTTTCTTCTTTTTTTTCACACTTCTCCATTTACTCCATTGTACTCTTCCTTTATTACAAAACAGAACTAAAGACATACACAAAAGGATTTTTACCATGTATCAGCGGGCCATTTGGAGGCTAAATTATGATCAAACCCTCAGTCCCTTAGAACTATCAAGATGTGGCATTCAAAGAATTTAAGTATACAATATTGTTAAATGAATTTCACATTCTGCACCTAGGAAGAATGTAGCCGTCCCACCGTCCTATCTGATCACCTCAACCATTGAAACGTACTGCCTACATTAATATTTCCTCAAGCTACCACGTACCTACTGTAAAGCTACGCTTAATCATGCTGCTGGTGGTTCTGCTCCAAATCTTTGCACCAAGAGTTCATCAAGCTCTCCGGGCTTCTGCTCTCCAGTTGAGCCCACATTATCCGACGGTAGCCCTCTTACAGAAGTCAAAATAACTTGGATGTCCCTGTACAATCTGATACAAAGAGCCACAAGGTTCAATACAGAGGTTGAAACTTTACAGCCGATACAAGAGTAATGTACGTCACCACCTGTCTGACCAATTCCAAGATTAATGAACCCAATCATATGGTTCCTTGACCGTAAGGTATGTAGAAAGCGACCATTTTATTGCAGAAATAAAATTCCACTAACTTGCATGTGAAAGTAATGTCATGAGAGACAACACTGTATCTTCTTATAATCTGTAATTCCCAAAACAACTTCATTCTTTAATATCGCTCTTCAGACAGAGTATAAGATAGTAATGGCTGACCTCGACTTCGCTTGAGGAGTGCTCGCGTCCACTTTCGAATATGCATCGGCGAGTACAGAGTGAAACAGTAAAACTATCCGTCTGCAAAGAAGCATCTCATTTAATCAGATATCCCCCCGATCTGTATATACCGAGCGAAACCACAAAAATGTCATAAAAGAGACGAAATGCCAGACACTCACGTGAATATGGAGCGCACGTCCTGCTCCAGCAAGAGCGGTGACAAAACTCTATGAAGAACACCTACTTCCTGCAGAATTTCAACAATAAGATGCCTGAAGGTTACTAAACACTCATGGAAACCCATAAAGCACGGCCAGAATCGCGGTTACAGCTTTCACAAATGCAGGCATCGAATCATGGTAAAGAAGTTCATGTAACAGCAGCACAGAACATACTACACACACTGATTACCACGAACGAAGTTTATTCCCTTACCTTTGTCAAACCCTTAGCAAATGGACTTGCTTGATTGTCACCATCATCTGGTCGATTCCAGGTTTCCACAGTTTGTGATAAAGTGGGAAGGTGCACGGTCAACAGACGATCCTTCATTATAGCCACCAACTTTGAGTGAATTTCATCCTTGTGTACTCGATAATCCTGCATCCAGTTCACATGAGATGGAAAGGTCAACTTATCCAAACAAACCGCAAAATCCATTTTCATTATTTCAAAGAATGACATTTAATGCCTATGCTTCAGCTACAGTATAAGGAAATCTCAATATAGACTATCTACTCGTACCTGATATTTACGACTGTTTCAACATGCAAAACTTGAGAGTAAAATAATCAAATCGATATGACGAAAAGGCATTCAAAAACTGCATCGGTAGTAAATTCATGCTCAATAGAGTAGTAATCGGGAGAGCTCCAAGTATTTTTCATACCTGTCTTACTCGGTCAATTTCCGTGAGAAGCAAACCCTTGCGAGAATCAGGAATATGCACTGCCAACAACTTTCGCACATCTGCAAACGGAGGAAAAGGATGAGTACAATACACTCCATCAACAAACTCTAAGAGTGAACACAACATCCATTTTTAAAGACCAGGACTTCAATCCATTTGCACTGACACCATAAATAATTTGTATGAAGTACAGAGTTGTGAACTAACGAAATTTTTAGGATCACAGTTCTCTTTATATATTCACACGTGAAAAAATTCAAAAAGGTTCTGAACTAAGGGCACAATACCTGGAATAAGAGCATAGAAAAGGCTGATCGTCTGACTTGCCAAAGCCAAGTGCTTCGCTGTGATGGATTTCAAACCAGCAACCTATCCATCCAAAATGTGATCAAGTAAAATACAGAACTTCATATCCAGAACAAAATTTGAAAGGAAATTCTGAAGACACCTCTAACACACACTTATGCTCGCATGAATATGCAAAATGAACGTACCCAAACAACTATTAATCCTTTTCAAAATGCTGTGAGAGTACCTGCATAGCTCCAGCACCAAGAACAAGTTGACACGACCGGGAGTTGAACAGTTTTAGAATCTCAGCAACACGATGGACAATTTCTGTGGCCAGTGCAGGAAGAGCGTCGCTAATATTGATGTATTCCGCAATCATCTTCAGCAATATAAGCCCACTGTATAAATCAAACATTGAAATTAAGTCAGGAGCTGCATCCGCACAAGAAACAGCAAGGCCGTAAAAAATTCACTAGTCTGATACACCCAAGTGTTTCAAATTCCAATGCACCACTCACCTGACATAAACTCAAGGGAAAGGAAAGTAAGGGTAATTAAATAGTTACCAGTTAACACAATGATAACTAGATCCTCGTATTTGGATACTTTTCATATGCGGTCTTTCACGTGTCTTCTTACTCCGACCAGCACTTGAATCCGTCACTGTAGCATCTACTGGTGGAGTGTGTGACGGTGTGGACTTTGATGCATTTCCATTCGGTACTCCTTCACCGTTGACTTGCTCGGCTGCACTTTGCCCGTCACCAGCTTCTCCAGTAGCCTAATGAAAAACATTATAAACACTGTTAATTTAATAACTATTACAGATATGTAGGAATTCTGAGCTATATCGCTCAGTTAGATATGAAAAGACTTTTCTGACTAACGCACTAAGGGAGATGCACAACGCCCGCATGCTCGATACGGAAAATAACGGCAGCAGTCGCCTCCTAGATACTTTTATACCCATCTTGTGACAAATATTCCTTGTCACGATTAGTTTCCGGTTGTCTTCTCCAATAAGACCATACTCTAAAGAACAAGTATTCATACCAACTGGCACGTTCCTGAGCTGAAACCTACTATTTGCTCGATGTGAACTGTGCAAAGACCAAAACCAAGATATCTTTAAAAAAAGTTCGCACGACTGCCGATCGACCTTTGTAAGTAATTAGAACAAGTGGAAGGCCAAATACTAAACAAAGCACTATAATTACCTTGTCTTTGACTGCACTGTCGACTTTGTCTGCCTCTAGGGCACGAGCACTTTCATCTGAAGCTGGTGCCTCCACAGTAACAGCTTCAGGGAGTTGATTAACTGCTTGCTCAGAGGCATCAGTACGAAAGACGGTGACTGCAGCAGTAGGAAACCCATTACTAGATGTGTCGAACTCGGTGAACCTGTCGACAATAGCTTGGAACTCGTCAGGCGCATCAACAGCAGTCCAATTTTCTTGCTCCAATATAGCTGTTATCTTCGATACCTGCAAAAAGAAAAGAGTTCAAGCTCAACTTACATTACATAAAATACAAAGAAAAGATCCACATTTATACAAATGACCAATATTTCAGAAGAAAGCGGACTTAAAAAGATTAAAACAAATAAATAGAAGAAACGTAAGAGGAATGAGGTAAAAGTCACTATGACGGATGAAGGTCGAACACAATGGTCAACATGTTAAATGTTAAACCTCTAGGGAAGATATTATCTAGTTTTCTTTTAATACTGGGTATAACTGGAGTAAAGAGCGAAGCTTCAAGTAGTATTTGTGATATTGTTAGTTTTTAAAATAGTATTTATGGTGTCGCTAGTACATAAGCCCTGCGGCCTTTTCACAACAAACATCCTGCAGGACCCCATATCAGTCTAGGAAGCTGAGCCGACGGAATCACAATTATAATTCATCCAATGTAATCAAATATTGAATTTTAATTGGAAGTAACATATTCGAGTTATGAAACAAATATGTGGAAACTCACTCCACTATCCTAGATGCTAGAGAATTGATGAGCATCAAAGAATATGAAAGACAAAATATGTACTTCTAGAAAATTAAGGAACAATACCCGTATGTTATGCTGATTATCAACAAATGACTTGGATTGGGACTGTAATGTGCCACGTATGCTGTAGCCTAATCGACCTCCAACCTGAATATTGATACAAATCAAGTAGGCTTCAAAAGCTGAACTCAAATACCGAGAAGTGCAATACAAAAGAAGTAATTTAACCAAACACATAAACTCGTTACTCAGCAGCCTATAATAAAAAAGAAATGTTCACAAAACTCAGCATGCAGAGTTGAAGATCATAAAGATAGCCTGCCACCATGGATATCCACATGGTGAACAATAAAAAGTGAGCATTACAACCCAACTACTCTCAAATATACGTCACAGAAAATGATTCATCGGCTTACTTTCTCAGTTGCAGATATGAATTCCTGAGTGATATTGTAGATGAAAACAAACTCCTCCAGGCGCAGTTTGGGATGAATATGTGCCCGCACCCCAAGAAGTTTAGCCCATCTTCCATGTGCAGCATCACACGCTGCACATACTGCTTCAGTGTTCTCTAGCAACACATCCGCTCTGAAATTCACAAGTTGAATTTGTCAGAACAATAGACAACGTTGACCAAATGAAGCAAGACATGTAATCATGACTTAAGAAGAAAAAACTGAACCGTAATTCAAGAAAGTCTCAAGTTGGTTTCAAAAAGTGAGCAGCTTCAAAAGATCCGCGCAGCAATGTTTGCGACAATCATTCTAAAAAAAAAAAAAAATAGAATCATAACAGCAAATATACCGAAATTGCTTCGACATATTAGATGCAGGCGATGAGGCGCTCGTCTTTGCAGGTGCATAATTAAATACAGATGAGTCTCCGGACAAGGAGCCGAAAGAACCCATGGTCCCTTCCTGTGCAGTCTCAGCTGCCGCCGCTGCAGCAGCACCAGATGCAAATGCTGCTGCCACAGCTTCTGCTGCATAACTTCCTTGCAGTCCTCCGATAATCTGCTCAATGACAACCCGAATTCTCGCAGCGCGCACCAGTCGGGACTACGTCCATAACCACTACTATCATTAGAAACAGCATTCTCAAGTTACATAATCTGAAAGCGATCAAAAAGAACCAGATTCGATATGGAGAAAAGCGATATGTGCAATATACCTGAACGGCAGCAAACACAGCAGCAAGTAAACGTCCAAAATTTTCGGCTGTCAGTGCCCGCAGTTTGAATGCAAGAGACACACCTCCTACTGATCAACAAATAATATAATTTTGTTAATCATAAAATAGAAAATAAATATATATTAACATTGTCAATACGTAATGTAATGCTCCACCACGACTTCCAGATGTTCAAAGTTGGGAGAAGCTGTCCCAAAACTCGCACTAAACAAAATCATATCTTCAAATTCAGCTTTTCACTATAGAGCTGTGGAAAACTATCCAATACACTGTAATTTAATTAAATCAGGTTCAATAATATTGAAAAGAAATGATGATATTTACGAACCTCTTAGTCCCAGCTCCATACAACGTTACTATGTCACAAAAGTTTAAAAGAAAAAGCATAGCTAGGACTGCGCACATGTGTTCAGCACTAACCATCCATATCCGCTTGTCGATCTGTAGAAGGTGCCTCCCCAGCATCAGGTGTCCTTGAGAACAATATAGGGAGAAGTTCCGCCACCACCGTCTTAATTGTAGACTTTATATTGTTGATTAATGCATCCTTGTATGTCCTCAAAACTGCAGAGAGCTTGGACTGGCTCACAGACAGCCACCAGTAAACAGCTTCATAAGGAATCATAAGGTATACCTTAAAGTTCGACACCATCAAAGGGAAAATTATCGCCGGTCACCGGACAGAAAACTTACAGTTCTAAGTAAGCCTATTACGATAGGCAAAAGCTGGTCGCGTAAGCCTCCTTCTTCGTCTGCACCCAATGATGTCTACAAAAAATCCTACAAACGAATTAGAACCCTAAACTAAAAGATTGTGTATGCAGTACATAATAAAGAATGACAGCTTGCATACCTATTGAACCAATAGAAACACTAGACAAATTCACTTGGGCTCACCAGATAATGAAAGATCACAGACAAAGTAGATACACGCGACTTAATGATTTTCTATAAATCATGTATGGCATTATGAAATTACTGGAATGTACTCTAATAGCAAAAACAGTCGAGCTCAACCTATCACAATGCATGAACACTGACCTCATAAGACTCGAACTCTGTCGTCAGTGAAACTAGACCTTTCTCCCTTGCAGTAAATCTACTCAGAAGAGCACTAGTTTCAAGATCCGAAGAGTGATGGATGACTGTTCGTACGAAATCCTCCGCTAGAACACTGCATGAACACATTACTTCTGAGCACAAACTTGGTACAAACGATCTCAGAGCTATTACACCTCTTCTTCCGGAAGTTACCGAGTGGGTAAATATTTTCAGGAAGCTACAAGCTCGTTCAATAGATGATCAATTGTGTTACCAGGGCAAAACATAGTAGTGCAAATTCTTCATGCTACCATGTGCCATGAGACACATAAAAAATCGTGCATCCAAAACGTCAATCATCTCAGAAAGTTAGAAAAGCTCTCAACGATGTGAATGGAAGCCCAATTATCAATCCATCATCATTGGTATATGGAAAACGAAATAAATTAATTCAATCCAGAAGTGTAAGCCAATCCTTTCAAGCAGTAGAAAAGATCGGCTACCTGCTTAGATTCAACGACCTAAGTAATCTCCTAGAAGCAAGAACTTGTGGTGAGACCATCCAGTGCTGATTAGGAAAACAAAACATAAGAGTGCACCATGACAAAAAGTACCTGTTCACTGACTCCACAGCAACGCTCAGCTGTCCACCGAGGTGTCTAAAGCAGTGCAGTCCAACAAGTTCGTCCCCACTCTGTGAAACCCAAGAATGAATAACTGAAATGTATTTTTATACCTCTAGAATCGGATTTTTGTTTTTAGATTACACAATATTAAAAAAAAAAAAAAAAAAAAAAAAAAAAAAAAACCACAATTAAATACACGCACACGACGCACAAAAATTGATATCACACCAAAACGCACCACACGATCTGAGACTATATTGAAGGATGCTAAGGTGGAGACAAAGGAAGGGAGGTAGTCTGGACAAGTTGACAAATGTTGCTGCACAGAACACGACTTCACATCTCGCGAAACATCGTTTTTTTACCTTGTCCTTTAAGCAAAATTATGAAAACTTAACCATCCTCATTAAATTTACAAAGTACCATGTTCTAAAGGTTTGTAGTGCAATCATATCAATAAAGCTAGAATGACCTAAGTCGTTGGGCACAAAATTGTGCCAACATCCCAATTTTGAAAACAAGGTAAGTTTAATAGGTCAAAAATACTATTTTTCTTTTTACGACCTCCAACATCCGCGAAGTTTCATATCTTTGACTTCATATACTCAACTCTTGCGAAATCATCATGGGACACTACTAAACTTCATGGATTGTCTACACATACCAAGTCGATGATAAGGAGACTACTATTCATAATCTGTACGTGGTCATGACCAAAACAAGACATCAAACTAAAATTTATAGTTTGAGAGCAGAAACCTCTATATACATTTGACTGTGAAAATTACTCCTACTACAAAACAATCATATGTCAATGTGCATTGAATGTCAGAGATCTTTATAAAATATTCATTGAAGCTCTTCCGAAACCTGTTAAGAACTACGATTAACTAGGTTTCAACTACTCAACAACTGATGAAGCACATAGCATCACTTCTTAGCATAAAGCCATGGTCCAAAACATCAAAAACGCCTTCTAACGACGGATATTCGAAAAGTTACACTAGAATACGATTTCAAATTACCCCTTTCAAAACTAACTGCACAGAAAGGCGGAGACATTTTCTACTTGAACTGACCCTGAAATGTCTCCTTGCCATGTACACAGCACATTAGAGATTTGCAGGAAAACTGCTGTTACCAACCACCTTTCACCATCTCACATAAGCCATGTGTGCATCAAGACTTAATGAAGATAATACCCACCAGCAATTGTTGTAAATCATCGATAACATCCAGAGTACCTGAACAATCTCCAGCTGCTACAAGCTGCGAAAGAAAACATCTCGGTTATCCGATTAGACAAATTTCGATGTATGCTGTCACAGGAAAAAGTAATTGTCTAATTACGCTGAAAACGACCTTTTTTTCCCTCTGTTTTAACAATTGACTAAGAGCATCAATCGAAAACTCGCCCGGTGCTGACTGATCAAGGCTTCGTGGCCTCATGCCAAGAATTGAGGCGGTATGTTTCATCGATTACAGGTTTTCAACAAAATCTTTGCAGAGCAGACTTGTCAAGAGAATGAACTAAAATATCGTCCAAATGAGGATAGGAAGTAAAGCACTAAAATAATGATTGACGAGCTTGGTATGTCGTACCAATCGCAGAGTAGACATAGCTTGATTGACATAAGTGAGAAGCTTCAATTTCTGATACAAATCCAGCATGTCGTTTCTGCGCATTTGCAAGCCTTGTAGATGTCTAGCAGAATCTACGATGTCACTATCCAGCAAGCGTACCGTTCCTTGTAGCTCCGAAATCTGGTCACACGCACCTACAATTCTGCTATTAAGATCTTCCAGCTGATCCAGAGCCTCAAAAAAAGAATCAGACCGGGCTGAAATTTCCCTAACGAGATGGAACTCTACGAGATCCAAGTAGTGAGACAGTTTCTCCTGCAGCATCATATTCTGCGGGATTGTGGAAAATGGGCATGCCGACTGAAACGTGGACCCTTTCTCCAGCGCAAAATCTTCCGCAAAATACAGAAAAGGAATTTCACGCAGACAAGCCTGCAGGCCGTCCCCCTGCTCTCCATTCAACCTGCTATCTCCATTTCTATCTGCTGCAAATGCAGCTGCCTGATTGCTTTGTTCCCGATTTTCATGTCGCCGGACGTCCGAAAACCGGCCATACGATTCCGAAACAGAATCAAGGTAGGGTTGAAAACTAGCTCTCGTAATGTCAGGCAGCACTCCCGGTGCTAATGGAGGAGGGAGCGCTTCCGCATTGGGGTCGCCGGATGCAGGCAACAACCACGTCCCCCAGGAAGCGTCCTGATTATAAATTCCCGACTTCCCGAGCCGCGGGTTGTTCAGCACGGACGCCAGGCTTTGGCCATACTGAGAGGTACCCGCACCTGTTCTATTCTCCGAAGAAAAAGAGTTCCCCGACGACTGATGATTCACTATATTCGCACCTACATTCCGAGGATTTTTCATACTCTTCTGCGACCCCTCCGGCGGAGACCTAGTGGAGGAAGGGGACGCTTCCATCCTCCCTACTCGTCCTGCTCACAGGGCTTTCTCCAAGCTTGCGGCACGAAGCTCAAAGCACTCTCGACCTTGCTCCACGCGCTTCCCTTCAACGCACTGAAAACCAAAGCAACCCTAAGCCAGGCCAGGCCAACTTACACAAAAACAATCTCAACAAAACACTCCTCGTAGCGATCTCTTCCCCTCCGATCTATCTATCTGTCGCCCCTGCAGTGGAGGTAAGAAGACATCGCGATCCCTCACGCCCTGATTGCAGAGCATCCGAATGAGTATCACAATGCAACAAAACTAAGATTGGCTCGAGGCCACATCACTGGCAATCCCCTTCGCCGGGCGCAGGCTTGGTCTCTCTCTCGCCTTCCTTGCTTCCTTCCCTTTCCCTTCCCTTCCCTTCGCGATCGAATCGAGTCTAACACAATAACAACAACAACCACAACCACGACAACGAATACCACGACGACGACCAGCACTTTTTGCGACGTCGTCGAGAATGAGGACGAGGTTCACGACGGTGACGGAGATCCTCGTCACTTTCACCGTCGTCGGTACAATGGACGGACGTTTTCGTTCGTCGATATTCTGTTGGGGGGAATCGTTCTAAAGCACAGAATCGTTGTGATAATTGGTTGAAATCATGCACCGATGTATGTATTTATTTATTTTTTTATTCATGTTGTGATAAAATACAGCCACATTTTATTTCATTTTTATTTAATTGGGTTTGAAGTGGTGATAAATTATGATTTGACTTTACACCTTGTCTAAGCAAATTGAGTTGAACTGACTCTTGCTATTTTGAACAAGTGTATCTCAAATTTATTTGTTACGGAGGAATAGTTTGACCACAATGAAACAGGATTTTTGGAAAAATTTTAAAACAATAAAAATAATAAAAATAAAATTTTCGTAGTAAATTTTCATAAAGTAAGAAAAAAGTAAAACTACAAAGCACACTGATTTATGTCCAAGTCAAAATAATATCTGTCAATAATTTAATTGGATGATCTAAGTAGTTTGTTTAAGAGATTATCTTGATATATTAGCATTTTAATTTAAAAAATAATAAAATGATTACTATCTTAATTAAAATAGTTTTTTCTTTTTCTTTTTCTTCTCCTTGTAGATTCTTGGCAACAATATACATATAATTCTTGGTTACATTGTTGAATTTGTAAATTGTTATTCTAATGTGTGTATTGTTTCACATCAATAACTAGCTTTAGCATATCACTCCCTAAACAAAGCAAGAGTTTCCAATGCAACTATTTCTTCATTAATATTATTTATTTAAATTGTAATGTTGAGAGCTATACTTATGCAACATGCATTGTTTTTGGTGATTGAATCACATTCATAAATGCTTACCCAGTTTTTTTATATAACCTCTTATAACTATCTTTTGTATTCACATATTTTTCACTTTTGAGTGTAAAAGTTATAGCTGAATGTAAAAGTAATAAAGTGCCTTAGAGTTTAAACTGAAAAAGGCAATAACACTCTGGTCAATTATAACACTTTTGCACTTTGTTAAACACTTCATTTTTTAAAAAAGGACCAGACATTTCATAAACTAATCCAACGATAATAGAAATATTAAATTATGTAACTTGGGATACAAATAAAAATAAAGGAATAATAAAAATACCAACTTGTTATAAAAATGATTTCTATTCTGCAACGATTCTAAACTTAGTCAGAATCATTTCAAAAAGACGTTATTTGCGAAAAGTGGTAATTTCATGTGTGAAAATATTGCATTTAGAAATAAATTACCAATTATACAATATACCCAACTTTATCTTTAATACAGACAATACTGAATTATTATTGAAATCAATTATTATTGACATTTCAAATTAAGCACAGGGCTTTGATATTATTGATTCGTCAAAGAAACAAAAAATCAACATTGAAATCGTTGTTTGAATAGAGCTTATTAAAATATTGTACACAAAAAACATGGGTGAACATGCAATAAGCAGTCATCAACAATTTCGGAAACCCTATTTATCAAACTTGTATTTTTGAATAGAGAAAATGGATTGTAGTGGCAGAAATAACAACAAACACACTAGTTTGGAACCACTTGGTAGCATATATTTTATTGACTACAGAATTAAAAACATATATATATATATATATATATATATATGTGTGTGTGTGTGTGTGTGTGTGTATTTCATTTTGTTTGATGAATATGTGAATATTTATTTCTACTGAATTTTATAATTTTAATTGTTGGTAGTCCAACAAATTTTTCACCAGGAAGCAGCTTTGACAACAATCCAATAAGAAGTTGCATCAAGAGAATGGCGCTTCCTAGTCACTTGGATAGCTACCAAGTATCCAACCTATTCAATCCACCACGTGGAATTAGGTTTTGATCAACTCAATTGTGTATGTGAAAGTTGATGTTACATGTTGTGAACCCAATATATATATATATATATATATATATGTGTGTGTGTGTGTGTGTATTTGAATACTTACAAATAAGATTATGTTTCCCTTTCTATGTAAAATATGTCTTGTGGGTATGTTTGTTTGATCACTTTTCAATGACATGAGTGTCTTTGAATTTAAAAATCAGTTTTCAAAAGCTCTTCAATTTAATTGGGTCAGGTTTTCATCAGTCACATGTGTTGCACTTAAATTGTTGTAGTACATTGAAACTACGATTTGATCTATTCTATTCTAAGCAGTTATTACTATTTGTATTATGTTTTTATTTTTATTTTGTTAGGGATGAAATGTTGCGGAGGGGGATAACACCAAGAGATCACCATCGTGACAACAAGGCTCTTGTTGCTAGAACAAGTGCAAAAAATCATGCTCTAAGACAGGTTTGATTTACTACTTAGCTTTGAATTAGAAGTATTTGGGAAATAGAAAAACCAAAATTTAAGCAATAGAATTGGAATAAATTCTAAATAAACTCAATATGATGATTATTTGTAAAATAAATTAAATTAAGTTGTGTTGAAATTTTAGCAAGATTATGTATTTTTTATTATTAGGTGTTGACATGGGCATACTGCAATTAGACATAGTATTATTTTGTATAATTTCACAGTAAGTAAGATTTAGGTGAAAAGATTGTAGTGTGTAAATTTGACATTATCAACACATTTTGAGATTTTTATAATGATGTCTAGGACCGTAGTGTATAGTATATATACTTTATAGTGATGTATAGTAATGTAAAGAAAAACATTTAAGATAGTGTACTTCAGGTTTCTATAACATGTAATTTTTCAATTTATTTAAACAATTCTTAAAGTTAATTATAAGACGAATGCACATTACTTGTTTACAATATTCTCTTCTACATAAACAATCACTTCCTTTACCCTGATCTTTGTTAACCAGGGTATCATTTGGTTTTGTTTACAAAAAGCATTTTTAAGCAAGAATATTGACTAGGGTTTACATGGGTTTACAGGGGATTTAATAAACCCTATTTTTACTATAATTATTTCGTTTTTTGTCATAGTGCATATTTATTTTCCATTACAATTCTAATGCATTTCTTGCTCTGAATGATCTCCTCCAAACCTCATGTAAGCTCTAGTCAATATTTTTGCCTCAAAAATCACTTCTCGTAAACAAAAAAAAATTGTTACTCTATTTGATGAAGGTTAGGGTTAAGAGGGCAGACATTTTGAAAATAAGGAATGGATATAACAACCCTCATAATCTAAATACCCTACATTTTGTACTAAATGATTGTGAGATTTTTCTATAAATTACTTATTTTACAAATTTACTCATTAAACTCTAAAATCATGAATGGGTTGAATCATAAATTTCAAATAGAATCCAGAAGCCTTAGCAACATTTGGAACTTCTCAAGAAGGCAATGTGGAAAAAAAGCCAAAGAGGAGGAACGGCATTGATTATGTTTCCAAAAATGTGAAAAGTGCAAGCAATACTGCAAGGGATAGACCAAAAGTGGAATATCCAAACTATATGAAAAAAGAAAACTTTGGCAAAGTTCCATCATAGTAGGTGCACAAATGATGTGTTTTAAAATATTGCATTTCAAGTATATATATATATATATATATATGTATATATATATATTTTTGATTGGATATATGGCTTGAATTTCGGTGTAATAATTTGGAATAAATGTTTCTCTAATGTTTATCAAATACTTACTTGAGATGAATTTGAAGAATTTATCTTAAATTGAGCTAAAAAACCCTAATTGATAAGTATAGAGCTAGAGGAGGTTTTTATTACATGGATATCATTCAAATGTTTTATAATATACAAGTTAAACTTGTATGTATATATATACTATTATGTACCAAAAGAAAATATAAAAGGGCCAAAGAAAACAATATATATATATATATATATATATATAAATATAGTGGTAAATATCTTTATAAGTTTTTGACTGATTTTGTTTTCAATGTCAAAATCTAGTATTGAATTTTCGAAATAACTAAGAATTTGTTTAAGTGATTAGAAACCTTTATATTATGTATATGAGATTACACTTCACTATTGATTGCTGTTATAAACACGTTAATTAAACCCTGAATGTATTTTATATTATTGCATATGGATATGTATTGTAAAAGTTCTGCATGCTAACAGGATATTCCCTAAAAATAATTCCAAATTGTGATTGATTTTTCCTTCCCTCAATTTGAATGATTCAGTTTATTGAGAATAAAGACGGAACTTGCACATGACACTGAAAAAAGGTTTGTTATCATAATTAGACAACAACTTCAACTTCAACATCTTCTTCGTTTGCTTTATTGACATTCAACCAAGTATTGTTAACTTCAGAGTGAACTCAATCTATCATCCTGACCAACATAGTGGATCCACAATCACAACACAACAAGACAAAAAAATGGAGTTACATGAACATTTTCTTATCACAGTTAGAAACCCAGTTAGAAGAGAGTTCTATAACTCAAGGCTTTACTTATCCATCGAGTACACGAAACATATTTGAAGCTTGTTGCACATGCTCATGAGTAGCAGTAATATACATCACACAGAAGTCTGGTGATGAAATTCGGCTGATAACTGTTGAATAAATTTAACTGCATTTTCCATTATATATATATATATATATATATATATCTATATATATATATATAGAGAGAGAGAGAGAGCGAGAGAGAGAGAGAGAGAGAGAGATAGATATCTATAACGAGCGTGAATGAAAGAAATGCTTCAATAATGTGATGTGTAGGTTGTTGGAGAGCCAGAACAAGAATTTACCACCTGGGTTGGTGCTCATGGAGGAGGCTGACAGGATTGATGTTCTCAACACTCTGAAAAACAGTATATCCTTCACACATTCACCAAAAACCACTATATAGAAGAGAAACAAACAAATAAACAAACAAAAACGACTTTTCTGTGATGTGATGTGCACTGCAGTGGAGTAAACTTGCCATCGTCGGAAGAGTGTTATTTTTAAAAGTTTATTTTCATGTTGCTGTTTTTTCCTTCACAAAAGCCCCGTTGAATGGCATCCAGGCAAGGAGAAGTTGGAGACCCAGCTGATGAACATGCCGCTGGTGATCCAAACCTCCACACAGAAGCGAAACAAAAGTGAACTGGAGCTCCAGTTGCAAGACCTGGAGAAATCCATTAGTCGATTCTCAAGACCCAAAGTGTACATTCGACTGAAGGATTGAAGGTTGCAGGAAAACGCAGGAAATTGTGCAGGATTGAGTCCTCTCAGCTGTTAGGGTTTGATGCGCTACTCGAGTTCTTCTGTAGGTAGATTGTAGTGCGTTGCAGAGTATGTTTTTTTGCCTCATTGGATTCGAAGTACAGAACACGAGGTCCAAGTTGCCTCAGCCAGTTTGATTGCAATGCTGGAGGGGAAGCATGCACAGTGAAGGCAACAGGTGGATGTAGGCTTCAGTTTGAGCATGCATGATGAGCGCAGTGATACGATTTGTCCAAGGAGCAACAAGAACCCGACTAGAAAAGAAGAAAGAGCTCGAATCAATGCTAGAAAACTGAACTTTGATTCCAGGTTGAGTGGAGATATTTGAGAATAATCAACCAAGTTAGGGTTACATGGATGCAAATAGAAGGTACGTCAATATACTGTGTAATTGTTGCCTTGGTTGTCGCTTCGAATACATAATTGCCTGGGTACCATTTAGAATTCAACCCAGTCTGGGATCATTTGAGTTGAAGAGCCTTGATTGAGTCGGTTTGAGTCATTTCCTCGCATTTATAGTTACTCCAAAAAGGAAGCGCTGTGGACAAGTCACACGGTAAGTGAAACTTACGCTCTTCCAGAATATCGAGCAATTAACATTGTGGATTCTTCTTCGACGCAATCAAAGTTGCATTGTTGCTTCTACGGGCGGTTCTCAGAACGATGGAGAGCTAGTGCATCCACTTTTTTTGCGAGAATACATGAGTTGAGTGAGAATAGACTAGGATTACATAGCCTGAAGAGATGTACATCCATAGAACTGAAATTGTATACATATAAAACCACCTACGTAAATAGTAGCAATGTATTGACTTCAACAAAGCATACCAAAGCATTGCACTTCATTGCACAATTGAAAGGAAATAGCGTTCAATAAAATTTTACCAGTTCAAACAGGAAAATCAGACGTAATTACCTACAAAAAAAAGGAAATTTTGAAGTTGGTATTTCAGGTAAAACATATAAACACGGTTTTTTCAGTGGAAGAGCAGTTAGAACCATTCTGGAGCACATTCCACACATTACGTTTGCATCAAGCTACATAGAACCAATATTGAAAGATTCAACAACCAAAAGTCGAAGTCTAAGCAAGGAACCAACCCTATCCAAGATAGGATTGCACCTTCTTAAAAAAATTTAAATTCAGACAAATGTTAACAATCCTTACGCTGGACATTTAACCCAGCGTACAGCTTATAGCAAGAACTGAAAAACATCTCGCAGTGTAATTATTCCTTCCACTTGTCTGCTTCCAGCTTCAATGCATATTAATCTCCGAACTCCTGCACACATCAATGCATATAGTACATTGTAGATAAACCAGGGAAACAAATAGGTCATGGATGCGCAGCGTCGTCAAGAGATAAGTCACCATGATAGTGGGAACAGGTGCCATGGCGAGATTCACATCATAGCCAATTCTCCAACTAATCTAACTCAAAAACCCGAAATTGCAATTGAAAATCGGCGAAAACAAACAAAAACTAAAATACTCAAAAAATATTTTATGGTTCTCTCACGTTTCTAACGCTAAATAACATTCTCCCGATGGAGCTTAGCTACTGAAATTCGCCGAGAAGAAGACATCTTGCAATTTAATCTCTACATAAATTCATGAGGAATTTGTCTTATCAAATTACAAACCCCCTAGCCCGAGTAAATATATAGATCACACTCTATCAATGCAATTCACATCACCTGAGGATGATAACATACCTTTAAAAGCTAATCGAAGTTAAACAAATGAATTTTCCACTAGAGCACGTGAGCAGCTCAAATATTACTACTCCCGCTAACATAAGCATTCGCATAGAACAGAAAGAAATATTTGACACACAGCGTTCTATAGGTTTTTAGGATCTAGAATTCATCTTCACTTCTATCATACCTGGAAGAGCCAGACGTTCTATAACGTAGCGTAACGAGTCCGATCGAATGCACATGTGGTAACGATTGCCACTGAGAGGGCCAGGTCCTGTCCAGTCTTGCGCAGCCCCTATCTGCAATGCCTGTAACATTAAGTCACATGTGAGGCCAAGTTGCAAAAAGCAACTCAGTGGCGTGCTTAACAAAGGTTAGTCTGAAGGACCCCAATTGCAAATCATGCCACTGTATTTATGAAACATATAAGAAGATTGAATCAAACATGACAAAAAGAATAATCATCCATCTCGGCACAACTATGCCACAAGCAAGAACATCTCTCAATATTTGAAAGTAAAAACAAAAAAATAAGTACACGAGCTGTGCATGTGCATCACACCTGACTGACAGTCAAGTCATTTAGCTGAGGACGAGTATACGTGCTATCCCTCGCAAGAGCTGTGATGTCCCTGAAATATCTCGGCAAACCGATGTTACAATGCTAATCAGATAGATAAACTAAGAATAGAAAACTCCAACACAAGTATACTTGTACAACAATGATCAAATAGGAGTGGATTTGTAAAAATCAGGTGCTTATACAGACATTGAGAAAAATGGTATTCATATGTAAATATCCCAATAAATACGACATACCAAAATTGTCAATTACCACTTAATACGAATGAGAAACAATATTCTGCTTTAGTGACGTCAAAACCGAAGTCAAATCAACATGTAGTTGAGTTCGTTGTAAAGCATACCCCCGGGCATAAACGTCTTGAAACACACCGTTTTCGTCCACAACAGGAAGTGCACTTACCCGAGCTGCATAATTAAAATGTTGAGCACGCTCAATGAACTGAAATGGAATAACTTTCACTTGAAACGCAATCCATACACCGAGAATTGTTAAATACAAAAACTCTACAAGCGTAAGAAACAGAACCTTCAAGCAGCAAAGCAAGTGCACGACTGAGGGATTCATCTCGCCGCAATACTTGCAGAGGTCGGCTACCAGGTTCAGCTATGCCTGAAACCCAATTCCCAATACGCAAGGTTCCAATGGGTTGAGAAAAGAGAGGGACAGATGAAGGAACATGCCGGAAATGTCTACAGAGACCTGCACATCAACAAATACAAAAAACATGATCATGATTCTTATAACGAGACACTTTCCAAAAACATAAGCTAACACAAAAAAAATGCATGTATCAGGGTACCAAGTCAAATTTGATACCAGAAAATACATCACCATATAAAATTCAATTAAGGTGTCTCACTCGCAGAAAGACATTCTTGCGTCTCAAATAACTTTCTCAGGCGCACGTTAGTTACCAAGAAGCGACCATTAATTACTTGGTTGAGTAAAGTCTACCAAAAAAAAAAAAAAAAAAAAAAAAAAAGAAAAAAAAAGATTTCCATTTTAGAATGAAAATCATAATTGTCCTTCTCATAGAAAGCTGGCCACAGAAAACTGCGGATCATCAAATTCCTGGGATCGACAAACTTTAAAGCATGTCTTTCACAACAAGTGCTAAAATTTTGAAGTGCTAGTTAGAAAATGAATTTCTGTGAGTAAGGAAAGGACCTACATCTTAGAATGCCAGATAGGCAAGCTAAATGTAACAACTCTGGGATGTGCGAATGAGGTGGATAGTGCAAGACGGGCAGCTGCGCGACGTCAAGTCGCATGAGTTCATTGGCCACATGTGAAAGGGTATCATCTGGTCCCACCTGAAGATTTATCAACAAAACCGATCAATACAGACTTCTAGTCAAGACGTCTAGCCAGTGCACACCCTGAAAACAAATACATCCACATTCTTTCATGCACGAAACCACTTGATGCAAAAGAGGATGTATATTAACAAAATGCGCTAAGAGAAAAAGAACCCCAGGAGAGGAAGGATTGGTGTGTGCACAGATTGAATCGCCCACTGTGACAACAGAAGCTATTTTCCATCCTGAATTTTTTTTAATGACGCTTTAAAACTCATGTAAATTGGCACAGACAAGGAGACACATCTCAGCACTCACATATACAAGCGAATGGGATGCAGACGGGAAAAGTGCTTGCTTCTCCTTTTTCCATTCTTCAATTGTGTGCATTTCCAACTCTTCCTCAGAAAACACTGAAGCACCATGGCTTCCAAGCTATGTACAGCGCAAGCAACATAAATCAGATATCCTGGAATAGAGGAAAAAGCTAATATCTTTCAATGATAACGCAGAACTAAAAGCGCAGCGTGGCCTATGTAATCAATTGAAAAGATCATGAATTGAATTGCATCACTAGATGGTCAAATAAACATATTCAGGATCGATCATCTGAGTCAATAACTTCCTACCAGATCCCACCACAAACAAACAAATATAACCAACAAACGGTATAAAAGAAATATAAAAAGCAGCCATGTGGTGCGTTCACTTACACGCTGTAATATTGAAATGAAGTCCGACGCTGTAAGCATTCCAACGAACTGCTGCGATGAAGAGTCCCATAATGGAGCTCCAGGAATACCCTGCATAAGTAAATATTCATAGTTCAGCTAGGTAAAACTCTCATTCCATGTACAGAATCAAACGCAGTATATGACTACCTACTGGTTAAGAAATTGTAGAAGGAATGTTTCCGAGGCTTTGCATTACTATAACAATACATAGAATACACAATCCATACCTGTTCATAGAGCGCATGAAAAGCTTGTTTCACTGGCAACGCCACATCCAGAGCCACAACCTGTACACGCCACGCATCTGTTCAGACCACAGACCAATGATTTCAATTCTGAAACTCAGAAGGTCTATAATAGCTCACGTCAACATCAATAACAGAGATAATATGTAATGGGTGTATTTGGATACCAAGTAAACTATTCAATTTAACATACTCCAATGCCTACTGGATACCATCATTGCAGTTGAAGTAGGACGGGACTTAATTCTCAAATGTCTGCTAATTCAATAGGTGAAGAATATCTACACATAAATTTAACTGAAACATCGTATAATAAGTCTATAAAACGTCCTTTTGAAGTTGTGAAATTAGGATAATACTCTAGTACAACATTATGCAACTTAAAATGAGTATCTGCATGCTAATAAAGCATCAGTGGTCGTTCATGCTTGGATACAGCTTGAGAAGAAGATAATAAAGTCAAAAAACAATGATCAACACCACCAAACAGCACGATTTTTCCTCGTTATACGAAACCGAAATTCTTCCCAAACAATCCTCACAATGGTTGTTTTCTTTTCACTTCGTGCACGTCTTTAGAATGATATAGAGTGCATGATCCTGGCGTGGGGTTGAGAGTATGTTGTTGTCGAACATACCTTGCCAGATTCAGGCAGTAAGTCATAAGCGAAATGTCGGTTTAAAAAATCGGCTATGTTTTTCCTTGAGGCTTCTGCTTCAGCAGAGGACACAACTGTGGCCCCAGATTCTGCCATAACAGCTCTATCTACTTGCTGATGATCTTGTTGCACATCACCATGAATCTGAGGAAGATCTTCAGCTCCTGACCCCTGTCAAATGAAACAATTCAAGCACATCAAATAAGTCGCACATATGACATGCTAAATGTACTTCAGTACAATTCAACAATATCACCGCATCAGAAGACACAATCTTTACAGAGAAGTCAATAACATGTTGACATCAGCATTCCCAACGATTACAGAAATAGATGACTGGTAGTCATAATAAAAGAAAATAGCGCAGTCACAAATGTCTTCATTTCAGTGCTGTGTTGCGGTGCTCACAGGTTGATGAAGCATGTCATGGTCAACATCCATGGTAACACCCGGAGTACCCATGTCAGGAGCGGGAGGGAGGATAGGGTGTTGCGGCTTGGTGATCAGAAGCCAATTATTGACTTGACCGTTGGACTCCGCCATGTGTGCCTGCTGCTCATCATGTCTCCATTCTCCATCCACGATGAACTTATACTGCAATGACACCAAACACATCCCGCCTTTTAAACATTAGATCTCCAATACACTTGTTTCATCAATGGGAGCAAATCCACCTAAATCAAGCATCCTAAGTTTCTACTATAGCCTTAAAATAAAATTAAAAAAAAGAAAAGAAAAAAAGGGGGTATTCTAAACAACCAGCACAAACTGCATACCGTGTGATAACCTGGTGCCAAGCTGCATATCACTTGAAAAACACGGGAAGACCCTTCCACGGGAGACAAAGGTAATGTATCCTGCCATCTGCAGCCATATGAAATTCAGTGAGGTGTAGGCTTTTGTCCACTCATGCACAACGAAGTCTAGAGCAAAAGCCCAAACCATTCCATCAGATATGCACTCCACTGACTTGGTACGAGGAATAAACCTCACGACCAGTAACCGTTAAAAGGTACGCACACACAGGAGCTGCCCATGCAGAAGATTATTCTAGGTAAGATGATCGCCCACAAATTTTTGAAGCTATAAGTAGTCGAGCTCCACAACATAACCAAAATTTATTTCACTGATATACACCAGTATTCAGAGAGAGCTCATAAAAAGCCACAAGCTCGTCACATTAGATCCGCTCCTTAATTCTAATCGCTGAGCCTACTTAGGCCAAAAGAACTGCAGCGTGGATAAATTGTGAGAATGTTCAAACACCAAAGAGAGACTGCAACAGTGAGGAGAGGTGGCCAGTCTGACACTGATAGAGAGATAGTGGTGGCATTATCTTGCGCTATTGTCAATTGAATGATTAACTGTAACACTCAACCGATGGTTAATCAAATGCCGTATTAATATCCAAGTCAATACCACGTTGATTAGCAAAATATGAGATATGAACGAAACCTTGTATTTGACCAGCTCATCCAACTTCGAAAAAGGAAACCCAGCTACACATCAAGATTGCACAAATACAGACAAAATAATCAAGTTCATCGCGAGGCTAGGCAAACAATGCTGATGACAATGGAAGAATCGATCTTCCCACGGCAGAAAATTTAGGTCTTCCCATAGCATCCATAGATGAATAGTGTCCAACCTCTACTCGCGGTCATGGTGTCATTACCAGACAACACAAACACCAAAATTCTGTACTCTCAAGTCCAAATTGACCTTGACTGCGGATTAGTAAAATAAGTGCACCTTTCCATCACTTCTTCGAAACCCTCATTAGTAGACTGAACGACTAAAAATCACGTCAGCGCCGCCCACAAGCATTTTCATGCGCCCGATTAACCCAAACTCGTGAAAACAAAAACTCCTATACTGTCCATTCAAGAACTCACGAGATTTTTGGACCATTCTAGAAACCTACAGGAAACCTTTTTTTCTCCCAAAATGCTTCATCGATGGGCAACAAATTCTTCGGCCTGAAAAAATTAATAACTCTCCCATTGGCAATAGGAAAAACCTCCAGCCCTCGACAGCCGCCTCTCCTAGAAACAAATCCACCCGCTGTCCCAAGAGATTCCCTCCCTCACTCCGAATCTTCCACAAAAGCAGTATCCACAACATCCAAGGAAAATGATGAACCGGACTGGTATCGAGCCGATGGAGAAGATCACGTACCGTGTGAAATCGCCGCACAGGTAGACACGACGACCGCCGTGCGGCCACACGAAGCGAGTGGGAACGAGGACCGGGACGGGCGCGGCGGCCGCCCCTTCTTCACCAAACATGAGGTGCACCGGATGAGCGGCACGAGTTGGGAGAGGAGCACAAGGAAGCGGATTAACGCAACAGCCCGCACGATTACGAGCTTCAACACGATGATGAAGAGACACACACACACGCACACAAACAAACACACAGCGAATGCGAGAAAGGTTGAGAGAGACGAAGAAAGCAGCGGGCTTGCGAAGGGGTCGGCAAGACGATGTCGGGCGGGCAAGCGGGCAAGCGGGAAACGGGCCGGGCCGGGTCAGATCGAGCCGAGCGGGGGGGCCAATATGAGGACCTGATCCCGCCCTTCCTTACTCTCGCCCATTTGGGCTCTTTTCGTCTAATAATGCCCCTTTCCTCGGACTTTCGGACGCGACCAAGCCATTTCCTTCTCATTCCCCTTCATGAAGCGTGGACTAAGCCTCGTTGAGGTTTTTCTAATGTTTGTTGTGGCGTGGATGAGGCCTCATTGAGGTTTTTCTAATGTTTGTTGTGGCGTGGATGAGGCCTCATTGAGGTTTTTCTAATGTTTGTTTGTTGTGGCATGGATGAGGCCTCATTGTGGTTTTTCCAATGTTTGTTGTGGTGGAAAAATCACCACAATGATTCTACATCAAAATTCCACATAAAAACATTGTAAATTATATGATGTAAATTAACTTTTAATTTGAAGCATCATATGACTTGAAACTGCATGTTGCATGTTGTTCCATTATATTCTATGTTATTCTACTATATTCTATGTCATTCTACGTTATGGTGGTACTTCTTAATTCCATGCCTAGTGATCTCACAGTGCTACTCTTGACAATTTGTAGCACCAACATGCAAATTTTGATCTTAGATTGATCAAGAATTTAGTTATTAGATTTTGATCTTAGATTGATCAAGAATTTAGTTATTAGATTATGATCTTAGATTAATCAGGAGTTTAGTTATTGCTACACTTTTGTTTTTATTTTAATTGATACAATAAGATATATAGTTAATTAAAGATGGTTTTGTCTCCTTTGATTTATCTTATTGGTTTATCTCTTAAGCTGTTTTGTATAAAAAAATATTTTTTTTAATATTAATTATCACTAATTAAGTTAAACAAATCATCATTTTATGTTTTTAAATGAAATTAAATTTACATGCATATTTCAAGATAAATCTTAATTATATAATTTTAATTGTTATATTTTTTATTTTATTGATATCTTTTATTTAACCCAACAGATCTTCAAAAATATTAAGTACTTGATGCTTGAGATAAAACCCAATTTTGACTTTGCACATGTCTTTTAGAAATGTACGTAAAAAAACACTTAATTTATAAATTAATTATAAATTTAAATATCATCATGTTTTTGATATTTTAAATATTTCATAATATGCATATTTTTGAAATAAATGATTCTCATATAATATAATTTTTATTAGTTTTAAAATTTTAAATATGCACACAACAAATGTATATAAAATAAGAACAGACTATGTCAAAAACCAAAGATTCTTTTATTCTACAGCAACATAAAACTTCATCAAAAAATAGGACAAAATAGACCAGAACAGAATAGAACTAAACAAAATAGAACATAAAAGATAAATTGAGCAAACAAAAATGAAATAGAATAGAATTGAATAAAAGAATAAAAAACCAAATTTTACTAAAAAAAAGGGTCTGAAGCCATACCTAATCAAATGTCCCTAAAGGCCATCGCCAATTCTATTTATATCTTATCTTGTTACCTTAGACTTTCTAGAATATTCTTAAATCATAAGCTCCACCTAAATAACTACCTTAAACTCTTTTTTTAGAAGGTTCTATAGTAGATCTGATCTAAATAACCGCCCTAAGCTTTTTGTAAAAGGCTCCATAATAGATCCTTCTAAATAATCATCCTAAACTCTTTTTAGAATGTTCCACGATAGATTCTACGTAGTCCATCAATCAAATCCCAATTCTAGAAACTTCCATGGTTCTATCTATCTATATAGTTATCTTATCTATACTCCACTAATACGGAACGTCCTCGTTTTGCTCCTAATGGTATCTTAAAATTGTCTCTTGGTAATGGATGAGATTTTGTTCAAGTTTATATATTGCGTTGTGAATGGGATAACTTTTCCATAAAACTTACTATTAAAGTTGTAGACGTCTGCTACCATGACAAAGGTAGCGATGCTCCAAAATGCTCTCTACTTCATATTCTTGTTGATCATCAACTACAACTGGTAGTAGTGGTGGTTGATGTCGATCTAGAAAGCACTTTGGCTCAATATGAAATTCCTTCATTTACAAAACATGAAAGATTGGAAGGACCTGAATATGTAGTGGAAGCTCGAGGCAATATGCAATATGAAAAATTATTGTAGAAATGCAAAAAGATTTAAGTCTTCAAAGTATTAGTTTGTGTATTTGGATTGATGTAGCAAGTGGCTAGTTGGTGTTGGAGAATAACACTTGATCACCCTCTAGAAAGGTCTTATATTGTTGATGGTTATCTGCATACTGCTTCTGTGAATTTTGTATAGTAAAGAAGTGGTGTCGTGCTTCTTATAAGACTATTATAAGTAGTTGTATAAATTTCTTTGTTATCAGGTTGCTAGTATCGATAGAATGATGACAAATTATTGGCGTAATTGGATGTTGATTGATATTCAAGAAAAATAATGAAAGATTAGTACTTGCTTGAATACTATCATTGTAAGTAAACTCCAAAGGCATCAAGTATTCATCCCAATCATTATAATGAACCACCACAAATATTTGGAGCATATCTTCTAGAGTTTGATTTGCACGCTCTATTTGCCTCTAAGTTTGGAAATAGAAGGCTGTAGATATGGCAAGTCGTATATGTAATAGCTTGAATAAGGCTTGTCAAAAACAACCTATGAAGTATGGATCTTGATTTAAAACAATGACATGATGTAATCCATGGTAACAAAAGACATATCAAAGAAGGCTTATACAAGCATCGAGGCATCAATATCCGAGTATACCACGATCAAGTAAAGTTACTTCAAGAATTGATCTATAAAGATAGCAATCACGGTATGATTATGAGGTGTTTGCAGCAAATATATATTGAGATCCAAAGTCATTTGCTCCCAACGTGCCAAAGGTAGCGGAATTGACTGCAATAGTCTAAGAGATACTACATTGCGTTCTTTATTACCTTAATATGACTCACAAGAACATACAAAGGCTTGAATATTTGTCAAGGACACAAACTAAAAGAAGATGCATAAACTCCTAAAATCAGTGTCAAAAGAAAAGTAACAAAATAGAAAAAAAATATGTATATTTGAAGAAGAACTAGAATGGCTATTTTTAAATACTAAAAAACATAAAAGTCTTAAAATTAGACTAAAAGTAAGAAAGAAGTTGACAAGAGTGAAGAGGGCTTCATTCTTCTCTTTATATATACTATCTAATTAGGGGCTACATTATAATGTTTTATAGGACCTCCAATATGTATTGACTTTATAGGACACATGCCTTGATATATATAAGGCAAGTTTTTCTCTGTGTGGGCCACATAGTTAGCTTGATCTTTAAGTTAACAACATATGTAGCACATGGCCAACTTGTTGACAACTTTTTTAATCCAAAAAATCAATTATAGACATCTATAAAGTCAAAGCAGCATCTATAAATCTTTTAAGAAACTTCTATAGAAGATATTATAGAATTAACTTGTATATATATATATATATATATAATTATTGGCTTATATGTATATATCTGTGATATTACCTCTCCTTCTATGGACGAGTTTCACAAGGAGCGGTCATCATATGTTGAAGAAATCTATGATGTGACAAATTATATTTGCTGCATACTCAGATCTTTGTTCTCTTTGAAGATGGTTGATAGGGCCTCTCTACCATCGATAGTATTTCATATCCAGGGAGAAAGACTACCTTGTTATTTAATCTTTATTGATGCCTTCATAGCTTCTTTCAAATAAAATATTTGGAACACCATCAAGAATTATTCCAACCTCTAATAAAATTACCAAACATCAAAAGTCTCTTCTAAGGTCGTGATATCAAATGTATTGTATCTCGCCATCTATTTGGAAAAAAAACATATTATTCTTGAGGATCTTTATCTTAATTGCATCGTCTTGAAGGTTGTGACAATTACAATGTTTCATTTGGAAGGTCAGTAAATAAAGGCTCCTGAGTTGAATTTGTTGGCTGTTGATTCCGTATCTCTTTAGTATCACGAATACACAAGAACTACAAACAAGTACAGAAGATAGAATGCTATCTTGTCTAGATCTTGTTTCTTTTATAGAGAAGATCTTCATCTTGGTTTTGATAGATGCTATCAATGAAAAACTTCTACCTTCCTTGTTGCATTTATAAGATTTTTTGTTGGCCCCCTTGTGTATTTGCTAATATTATATCCATGCTATTAGATAAGATATTCCAACCTATTTTTGTGTTGCCTTGAATCAAGAACTTCTTCTACCTTAAATTCTTCATTATTATCTAATTCTATAGAAAAAGGTGGCACTTGTCTTCTTCTCGATATGTTCACGTTCTTATATATTTCAAGAAGAGACATGTAAAATACATGATGAATCTTCATTGACTCTGGTAAGTGTAATAGATATTCAACTAGATTGACTTGTTGAAAATTATGAAAAGGTCTAAGTCTACGATAGTCCAATTTATCACAAGGACAAGTGGTCTTAATATTGCAATGAAGTAACCATACTTTGTTGCCTACATTGAATTGTGGTTGTTCTTTTCGATAGACATCTGCATTGATCTTTTGTTATTTTTAAGCTTCTTTTAACTGTGCCTTTATTATTGCATGTAGCTCTAACAAATGATTTGTCAAATCTCTCACTACAGGATTATCAGCTTTTGAAAAATTAAAAGTATCAAGTTATAGATGATAACCATAATTGAGAAAGAAAGGTGTTTTTTTGTAGAAGAATATACCATGTTATTATAAGTAAACTCTACCAATGGAAAAAGAGTTGTCTAATCATCTTGTTGATAGTTGATAATACATCTTAAATATTATTCCAAAACTTGATTAACATGCTTTGTTTATCTATCAGTTTGAGGATAGAATGTAGAAGATAGTTTTATATCAAATTTTAGAATCTTTAAAATTTTCAATTCCTTTCTTGTTTCTAGTCTAGTTTCAAGAGTCTCAATTTTCCTTATTTTTTTGGTAATAAGCCATTTCAGTTTCATTTCAATATATGTACTTTCTTATTTCTAATTTTTTATTCTTTTTTTGATATGGATTT